TTTTAAAATCCAATGTGTGGATCACATAATATTTCAAAAATTTTAACTTTTGAGTATAGATGATCCGCACTGTATTTTTGAACTGACGTTTTACTCAACTAGAATGGTTTTTCTTTATTTAGGCAATTGTTTTGCAAATCAAGCCTTTCACTTCTCATTATAAAAAACCCAAAAATAATTCGATAACTAACTTGCAAAATTAAAAAAATCATCCCTATTTTTTAAAAAAAAAATTATTTAAAAACCCCATTTTTTTAAAAAAAAAAAATAATAAAAATCAACGACTATCGTCTTTAAAAAATAATAATAATAATAAAAATCAAACCATTTTTTAAATAAAAAAAAATCAACGCCATATTTTTTACACACACTATTCTTTTTTTAAAAAAATCAAACGACGTTTTTTTAATTTTCTTTTTTTTATCAAAATGTCTAATCAACAATATAATCATATTCCATTTTTAAACAGCAATAATAATAATTATTATTATAATAATAATGATAATAATAATAGTAGTAGTAGTGATAAAAATAATAGCAGTAGTAATAATAACACAATGCCGCCATCCCAACAATTATCATTCTCTCCATCCCAACAACAACAAACTTTATCTTTTTCACCTCAACCTCAACCACCTCAACTATCTCAAGCTATATCATTCTCATCTCAACCGCAACAACCACCTCAACTACAACAGCCATCCCAACCCCAACATTTATCATTTTCATCTCAGCCGCAACAATCGCCTCGACTACAACAGTCACTCCAACCACAACAATATTTATCATTCTCACCTCAATCGCGACAATCATCTCAACTACAGCAGCCACTCCAACCACAACAACATTCATCATTTTCATCTCATCCGCAACAACTACAACAGCTACCCCAATCCCAACATCATTTACCACTCTCATCTCAACCGCAACAACTACCTCAATTACAACAGCCATTCCAACCACAACAATATTTATCATTCTCACCTCAACCGCAACCACAGCAGCCTTTATCATTCTCACCTCAACTACAACAGCCACCCCAACCACAACAACCTTTATTATACTTATCTCAACAGCAACAACCACGTCAACTACAACAATTTTTATACAACAACAATAATAATAGCAATTATTATGGCAGTAATCTCAATTCAAATCCTAATCCTGTTAATTCAAACATTAACAATATTCCTTTATTGAATTCTAATAATAATGGTATCAAATATAACAATAATTCTTTAATTCTTTCTATTTCTCATCGTATGTCACTTATTAAGGATTATATGCTAATAAT